TGTATACAATGTTCTCCTGGTTCTGTTCATTTCACTTTGCATCAGTTCATATATGCCCAGGTTTTTCTGAAAGCATCCTGCTCATCATTTCTTATAGAACAAGAGTACTCCATTACAATCATATGCAACAACTTGTTCAGCTATTCCCCAATTGATGGACATCCAGGGGAAAATTTATTAAGTGTCTCTTCAGGCACTGTGCTGGGCACAGGGGAAACAAAGAAAAAATTGAAATTCCCCCTGCCTTCAAGAAGCCTATACTTTATCGGATGAAACAACACACACATAGTTAAGAACAAAATACGTATAAAACAAGCATAAGGTAATTTTGAAGGGGAGATGAGTAAAGGCCTTATGTTGAAGGCGAGCCTTGAAGGAAACTCAGGATTCTAAGAGATGAAAGTGAAACAGGAGTGCATGCCAGGTGAGGGGAACTGCCTGGGCAAAGGCGTGGAGACAGGAGTGCCATGAGGTCAGTTCGGCTGGAGCGTTGGCTGGAATGGCAGGTTGGGGACAAGATGTATACAGCTTTACATGTCAGAGAAGTTTATATTTAGTTCGAGAGGAACAAGGAGCTACTTGGGTTTGTTGAATAGGAGAGTGACGTGGTCAGATCTGCACCTTGGGAAAAACATGGCAGCTGTATGGTGGATGGATAGGAGAGATGAGGCAGGGAGACAGGAAAGAGGTCTGAACTAAGGATCTGAACTAGGGTAGAAGATCACATGAATACAGAAAAGAGGCCACATACGAGAGATGCTATGGAAAAAGTAATGATAAGATTTGGCAACTGATTAGATACGTGGGGTCAAGGTTAGTTCGGTGACTGGAAAATTGGTGGTGGCTGGTGGAGTTTGGGAAGAAAAAATGAGTTCTCTTTTGGACATGTTGTGTCTGAGATGCTTTTAGGGTATCTAACACTAAAAGCATATGCTTTGGTTATAAATCATGGAGCACCACAGTCTCCAAGGAATAAAAACTTAACGACTCACCCAAAGGCCAATGGAGGCACATATGTGGGGCACAAGTCAACTACAGCATTGCTAGGATTTCAGAGGAAAGAAAGGTCATTTCCAGCAGAAGGAATCTAGGTATATTTCATGGAGGCAGTGGCATCTAAGCTGGGCTATGAAGGATGGGCATCATTTTGACAGATGGATTTGGAGGGGTGGTATTCCAGATAGAGGAAATCGTATAAGCAAAGATACAAGGGTAGGAAAACATCAGAAAAGTTTGGGGAAAGCTGAGTTTAGTATGGCTACAGTTTATGACAGAGTGTAATGGAAATAAATATCCATTTACCACGTGCTGCTACTCACTATTGCTACCCTAAGCTAACTGTGTTTTTTCAGGGACAGAAGGATACAGTTCAAATCAATTTAATTCAATAGGCATTTATTAAACACTTATGTGCAAGGCACTGTTATCGGTACCAGAGACACAAAGACAAAAACAAATTACTCTCTGCCCCCAAGGAGCTTACATTCTACTGGGAATGGAATTTTACCAAACAACTGGCTAGACGCTGATCCAGAAAACGTGGTCATATTCTACTCTGGACATTCTGAATGGAGAACAGAGAGAAAAACACACAAAACCTACAACATTAGTGGTAACAGGCTAGCTCGGGTACCATAGAACCATGGAGGGTTTGAATGTTGTCAGACTATATTTAGTTTGTGACTTACCATGTGTAATTTCCTGAAAAACCTTTATTATTCTGTTAAATTGTCCAGATCCTGTTTCCCCATTTGGGGGAACTCTACCCCAAATTCTAAGACCTGTTCGTAGAAAAGGAATTTGATAAACTCTTTATCAACCAGTATCAAGCCCAGATTAGGGAAACAGGGTAAGGAATCCTACATAATTGCAAGAAAACCTCTGAGGTTGGTTCTACCTCAACTTGTAAAGAAAGTACTATATAAATATGAATTATTATCATTAAACCACTACCACAGGGTTATATGGCCAGAATTTGACACCTTTAATCACCATAGGTAATGAGGTTCTGTGTCTCTCTCTCTTTCTCCATGGGAAAGGCTACTCCAGGTAAATTCAGCTCCATATGCGCTGATTAAATATTGAGAAAAATCTTGTGATTCCAAGAGCAGAATGTCTCTGGCCCCCCACCCCACCACACCCAATGATTACCTGGTCTTTCTTCAGACTCTCTTCTTGCCATGGACATAGGATGATCATGACCTCACACCTGAAAGTCGAAAGTGAGACATACACCAGAAAATCCAAAACCTCAGATCGACCTTCCAATATCTCTCCCTTCCAGGCACAGTGAATATTTGCAGCTTAGGCAAATTCAAGGTGTGGTTATCTGAGCCAAGGGTACTCACTTAATTGGAGGGTGGAAGGATGGAGATGCAGGTGACCCTTAAATTTTCCTCCATTATTATAGTTTTGAAGAGTAAGTTTTTCTTTTTCTCAGTTATTAGTGGTTTTTGGAGTGTGGTCTCCGTCCACTTGTGATGACTGGGGCCTTCAGATATCTGTGTGGAGGCTGAGCCAAGATGGAAGAGGATGGGATGGCACCTACATGAGGTGCCAAGAACCAGAAAAGAGAGAGACAGAGACAGAGACAGAGACAGAGACAGAGAGACAGAGACAGAAACAGAGACAGAGACAGAGAGACAGAGACAGACAAAGACAGAGACAGAGAGACAAAGACAGACAGACAGAGACAGAGAGACAAAGACAGAGAGACAGAGACGGAGAGACAGAGACAGAGACAGAAACAGAGACAGACAGAAACAGACAGAAACAAAGACAGAAACACAGAGACAGAGAGACAGAGACAGAGAGACAGACAGAGAGACAGAAACAGACAGAGAGACAGAGACAAAGACAGAGAGACAGAGAGACAGAAACAGAGACAGAGAGAGACAGAGACAGAGACAGAGAGACAGAAACAAAGACAGAGAGACAGAGACAGAAACAAAGAGACAGAGACAAAGACAGAAACACAGAGACACAGAGACAGAGACAGAGAGACAGAGACAGACAGAGAGACAGAAACAGAGACAGAGAGACAGAGACAGACAAAGACAGAGAGACAGAAACAGAGACAGACAGAGGCAGACAAAGACAGAGAGACAGAGACAGATAGAGACAGAAACAGAGACAGAGAGACAGAGAGAGAAACAGAGACAGAGACACAGAGACAGAGAGACAGAAACAGAGACAGAGAGACAGAGAGAGACAGAGACAGAGAGACAGAGACAAAGAGAGAGACAGGAGACAGAGAGACAGAGACAAAGACAGAGACAGAGACAGAAACAGAGACAGAGAGACAGAGACAAAGACAGAGAGACAGAAACAGAGACAGAGAGACAGAGACAGAGAGACAGAGACAAAGACAGAGAGACAGAGACAGAGACAGAGAGACAGAGACAGAAACAGACAGAGAGACAGAGACAGACAAAGACAGAGAGACAGAGATAGAGACAGAGAGACAGAGACAGACAAAGACAGAGAGACAGAGACAGAGACACAGAGACAGAGACAGACAGACAAAGACAGAGAGACAGAGACAGAGACAGAGCGACAGAGACAAAGGCAGAGAGACAGACAGAAACAGAGAGACAGAGACAGGCAGAGACAGAGAGATGGAGACAGAGAGACAGAGACAGAGAGACAAAGACAGACAAAGACAGAAAGACAGAGACAGAGAGACAGAGACAGAAACAGAGACAGAAAGACAGAGACAGACAAAGACAGAGAGACAGAGACAGAAACAGAGACACCACCATCTCTCTTCTCTATTGATTCTAAACTGAGGCAAGCCATTGCTGATAGGCATGGAAAAGGGAGGCCCAGAAATACCTTCCGGATTCTCCATCTGACACATAATTTCGGATCAATTGGAGTGGGTCAAAAGACATCATTACCTCTGGGGGTGTTTCTGCCGAAGAGGAAACAGGTGGGTTAAATGGGCAGTGTCTACAAGAACTGCCGCTCTAGACAGGAATGGTTTCTAGATGAACGTCCTCTTGGCATCTGATGCCATTTGGGGGAAACCCCTTCCTTTTTTCACTACTATCCCTTTGCTGATCAGTCTGAGAAGATTCCACTGGCCAGAGGTGCCTTCACAGGAACAAAGTCCAGGAAGAGGCAATAACGCCTTGCTCCCTTTCTTAGCCTCTCTGTCCTCTCTCTCCCCCCCAAAGCCTTCCTCCTCACAGGTGTCACTCTGGTCTATGTTTTCGATTGCTTGTCACTTGTTTTCTCCTTCCACCTCAGAACCTCTAACCTGCAGAGGAGAGACCGACTGTCCACCTGAGGGCCAGACAGCACAAGGCCTGGGTGACCGCCATGGAGGGCACTTGAAGAGGGCCCAGCAGAATGATCAGCTAAATGAAATGGCCCCGGGGAAAGGTGAAGTGCTGGTGCTGCCCGGGCAGCGGGAGCCAGACCATGCCTCCAACCTGGCTCCTCACTTCATTTCCTCCCCAGCCCCTCCCACTGTGCCCGAGCCTGACCCAGGCAGTGTCTCTAACTGGTTGGGCCACATCCCTCCCACTGGCCTTCACATCCAGTAAGTTTGGGGAGGAGCCTGCACCTAATCATCCCGGGGCCTCTTCCTAGAGATTTTCCTTCTGCTGGGCAAGCTTCTTCTTCTCTCTGCACTTGTCCACAACTGGGTGGGTAGAACAGGGGCTCCTGCCACCAGGATGTCAGGGGGCTGGGCTGGGGGAAGAGGGAAGAGGGACTTAGATGGAGCGGGCATGTTGGTAATAACTCTGGGTGGTGAGCCATGCTTATGGCAGGAAACTGAGGCCCCCCCAAAGTTCTCTCTCCTGGGGCACATGGGCAGTAACAAAGGAGAGAAACCGCTGTAATCTCCTGTCTGTGGGAGCCCCAGCACAAACCAGGCTTTCGCTCCACCTCTCTGGGGTCCTTTCTGAGAGCCAAGGCTTAGGGGAGCTGACCTCTGGCCTCTAGCTGACCCTGCCTCTGCTCTCTTGTTCTAAGAGCAGCTGCTCAGGGCACCACCTCCAGGGTGAACTCTCTGAGTCAGGGCCTGCTGACTCAGAGCCAGCTGGGTAGGACCTTAGAGATCCTCCCTTAGGTAACCTGTGCCATGAGCACTCAGCGGCTTCACTTGCTCCAGAGCCATCTCTGCCCCACAGAGGTAAGAGGGAGGTCTGGAGGCTGGAGGCGAGAAGGCTGAGCAGATCACCAGGTAGCCAGGGGCTGGCCTGGGTCTGGAGCAGAAGGAAGGTTCACAGGGCTGGTCTAGGCTGGCCTAGCCCTTGGCCGGGGGCCCCTTTTTGTGGCTCTTCATAAACCTGTCACCTAAAACTTCAGCCCCAGGCTTTGCTTCTCCTGCTGGAGTAGCTCCATAAAGCTTCGACAGAGAGAAGCACACCCGCTGCCCGGTGCCCAGTGCCCGGTGCCCAGTGCCCAGTGCCTGCTGCCTGGTGCTTGCCATTCTCAGAGAAGGCACAATGGACCTCAAGAGAGAGAACAGGCCAGGCCAGGTTACGAGGCGGGTGGTTTCTATTTCTAATCCAGGAGGAGTTTCCCTTGAGGACTGGTCCTGTCCGTGCATGAGAAATAACAATAATTGTCGTTTACGTAACCCTTTCTGTGCCTTATCTCGTTTGCTCCTCACAATAGCCTTATGAAGCAGGTACTGCTATCACCCCCATTTTACAGATGAGGATACCGAGGCTCAGAGGTTAAGTGACTTGCCCAGGGTCCCAAAGACAGCCAATGTCAGAGTTGGGCTTCAAACATAGCTCTCTCCTGGCTCCAGGTCCAACCTGGCTGTTAATTTTAGCCGGTGTATAGTGAACACTCTGGGCTTAAGCCCCAAGAATCACCGTATCAGATTTCCCCAACCCTGGGGACATTTGTTTGCCCTCTAAAGAGTTGCCTAATCTTGGGCCCAGTTAGGCTGCTCTCAGCAAACACCCCCTAGATGGGGCAACAGAGGCGGCTGGGCCGGGCTGGAGGGCAGGGGAGGGCAGTCATTCCCAGCTGCTCCTTACAACCCCCGATCACCACGCAGAGCCGAGGCATGGAGGTGGTGAGCAGCCCACTGACCACACATGTACTGGACACTACCTCGGGCCTGCCGGCCCGGGGCCTCTGCCTTCGCCTCTTCAGGCTTGAAGACTGTGACCGGCAATGGACTGAACTGAGGAAAAGGTAAGGGGGACGAGCAGGCCCGTGCCTCTGCCTCAGCTGCACTGCAGGGCCTGCCCTCTGAGCACCACTGTAGGGGGCGGGTGGACAGGAGGGAGAGGGAGATGGGACTCCGCCCAGGGCAGGAGCCATGACGATCCCCCCTCCTCCCTCCTGGCTTCTGGCTAGGCTCCACCTGTGTGTACAGGTTGTAATGCAAAGACCACAGGTCTGCAGAGGCCCCAAGTCTGCTCCTCTCCCTTTCTCCCCAGCCGGGCAACGATCAGGCTAGGCCATCCCTGGGTGGTCGGTCTTGTTCCAGGCCTGAGACCCGAGGTCTTTTCTGAGTCCATTTCCAAGGAGTCTGACTTTCTACCAAAGAGGCGGCAGCACAGGCTTAGGATAACTGGACCCTTGGCTACAGAGCTGGGAAGGGACCTCAGACAGCCAAGCCCTCCTTTAGGAGGGGCGAACTCCTGGCGCTGAGGCAGGAGGCGGCATTCCCGGCGCATCCCTGGCCTCTCTTTTCAGGCCCCATGTCTCAGGGCTGGGCTGAATCTAATTAGGGCTTACCTGGGCATGGGAGCTCTGTGCTTGAGAACATTATGAAAACCTAGGCAAAGGGCCTGAGGGCCTTCTCTTCCTCTGCTCCTTTATTTGCTTCATCTGTGAAGTTGTCTATCTCCCTCTAGCGGTCATTTCTGACGACCAGGGTCTATGGCTGGAAGAAGCCCGGGAGGCCAGGCTTTCTGAGGGAGGGAAGGCACTATCAGGACCGAGGGAGGCGTCCTCAGCTACAGGGGTACAAGGACTCAACTAAGTGTTGGCCCTCTGGTTCTAGACTGAGTTTAACTGTTTTGGAAAAGACAACAGTGCAGTTTGGGTCTGAAATGATTCACCATTTTTCTGAATGGTTTGATTGGTTCCTAGTTTATAAAAATTAATATTTAGGTTAGGTTTCAACAATTAAGGGCTGAAGTGTCCATTACCATTTGCGTGGGGGCAGGATCAGAGAAGTCACAGTTTTGCTAATGCTGGGCTGACATAGAAAATCACCTTGTGCGGCTGGCCCAGGGGACGTGTGATGGTGAAAATCGCCCTGCCACTCACGCCAGAATACCTGCCGCAGACAGCCCCGGCCGGGCCTGGAGACCGGCCTCCGCTGCCTCTGGAGAACCGTTCCTGCTTCACTCCCCGCTGCCCCCTTCAGAAGTCAGCCCTGGGCCTAGCTGGGGGAAGCTCAATCACAGAGGTGGCCTGAGCCAGGTGGGACCCCCTGCCCTTTCTGAACCCTCGTGGCGTTTCCCTTCTCTAGTTACACCAACGCTGACGGCCGCTGCCCAGGGCTCTTAACTCCCGAACAAATGAAGGCCGGCACCTACAAGCTGTTCTTTGACACAGAAGGTTACTGGAAAAAGATGGGACAAACCAGTTTCTATCCATATGTGGAGGTAAAAGCTGATGAAGGGGATGGGGACGGGGTCAGGATAAGGGGCAGAGAAGTGATGGAATCGGTGAGCCCTGGGAATGCTGGGCTCACCTCTGCAATTACTGGAATAGCTAGGGCTTACACAGCACTCTAAGGGTTGCACATCTAATCTCATTTTATCTCCACAACTCCAGGAGGTAGGAGGTAATATTATGCCCATTTTACAGATGAAGGAACTGAGGCACAGACTTGCCCAGGATCACGCAGCTAGTGTCCGAGGCCAGATGTGAACTCAGGTCTTCTTGAGTCCAGCGTGCCACCCACTGTGCCACCTAGCTGCCTCTGGCCCACTGTATGAGGCTAAGAATCCCTGGAGCTCTCTGTTGGGTCAGTTTCCACAACCGTTTAGAGATGTCATCAGTGGAGGTCTGGGACGCTCCAGGCCTGCCTGTCCTGAGTGACTTTTCCAAGTGTACCTAATGGGCTGGAAGCCTTCCTGATTTTCTCTTGGCAGATTTTTTTTTTCAAGTGAGAAAGCAAAAGAATAATAATAATAATAACAACAACAATAAATCTGCATAATGGGCATATTAAAGCCTGTCTCTCCAGTAGTAAATGGGAGAACACAAACACCAAAGACCTTTGAACTCCCAGAAGAAAGGCACTGGACAGAGAGCCAAGACACAATTAGGCTGGGTGCCATCCCACCCCCAGACTGCACACACACCTCATTTACACGCCCCTGGTCTGCTCAGGGTTAATTCTGTGGACAGGAGCACAGCCTCTCCTTACTCATGCTCCCCTTTGAAGGGAGAGCCCAGCCCACCTGCTCTCCTGCCTCCAGCTAGCTTGTGGCCGCTCTCGATTAACTAGAGCTCATCAGAGCTGAGTGCTTCTCCCTCAATGTGAAAAGTCTCTCTTCATGTCCTGAGATCCATCCTGAGAGAGGTTCCTGCTCCCTGGGAAGCAGATCAGAATTCTGGGGTAGGATTGGGCCTTAAAGGTCCCACCCTCTCATTCTGGAGAAGCCCCTTCAGGTAGGTGCCCGCCTGCGCTTGGACTCACTCACCTACCTGTGTCCCACCCGCCCACTGCTTCTCTCTCTCTCTCAGGTTGTTTTCACCATCACAAACGAGGCCCACAAGCTCCACGTGCCCCTGCTGCTGAGTCCATTCTCCTACACCACCTACAGAGGAAGCTAGACAGCCAAGAACCAGAAAGACAAGTGAGGCAGCCAGGACCGCCCTGCCTCGCTGCCAGCCTGCCAGCTCCGCCCTCCAGCTGCTTTCTGGCCAGCATCCTAAGTCTCGCTTCCCACCTGGTAGCTCCCCAACAAGCTGCTGTGATCACGGGGCTGAAGAGATCAATAAATTCTGTGCTGATCTCTCAGCAGGCACTCCTCCCTCCTTCACTGCCACCCTGGGGGTTTGAGGGCCCTCTCTGGCCAAGGCTTCATGAGAAAGCGAGCCTACCCACAGAACCCCCGAAGACAGAGCTCCACGGTGGGACAGGTGGGGGGCTGCAGACCCAAAGGCTCCCCTTCACTGGCTCTGCCAGTCTAGGAGTCCTGCGAGATCTTGGGGAGGGGCACAGCCAAAAGGCACATGGGGAGGACAGGAGAGCAGGCCCAGGAGAAGCATGTGCAGAAGGGTTTGGGGTGAATCTGAGGGGGGCAGACCCTTGTAGATACTTGGATGGGAGAACCATTCACCAAGAAAACACTGCAAAGTTTCTTTCTTATACCTGGGCCCACTTTAATGAAGCCTTGAGACAGAGCAAGGCAAAGAGGCACAGACTGGTTAAAAATTTTTCATCTGCTGAAGTTTTTAAAAAATAACCGACCTTAAGTCTACGAAAAGGGGCGCGATCTAGAACAACCATCTCTGGAGGCTTCACCAGGCCTCAGCCCCTCAGCCATGTGCAGCATCAGGGCCTAAAGAATGTCTGTAGCTGGGAAGGGGAGGGCAGGGCGGGCTGCAGTCCATCCAGGCTACGTTGGCATAGATACCAGCCCTGCAGGGCCATGCCCCAGGTTCTGTCCTATCACCGCCGTCTCCATAGGCTTGAACCCTATGTTATCCAGAGGGATGCCGAAGGCAACGAGCTTGGCTTCATAGGTTCGTAGCAAGTCATTGTGCGCCTGCGGGAAAAGAAAGGCAAGGGAACGTCAGGGGGCGGCGCTGGGCCCACTACGGTGCTTCTTTTATTCCTGCGCTGACTTTGACTTTGTTTCCTCACTGTGGCTTTTCCTCTTTTTTTAAACATTATTCTCCGCTCCCGGTGGCCCCTCCAGCCCAAACTAAAAGAACCTTCCCTTGGAACAAGTATGTGCCAGGAAAAATCCAGAGTCTGGCCCTGTGTGAAAAAGCAGAACTCGTTCTTAAGCTCCTGTCACCTCCTGTCCACTATCCCCCAGGCCAGAGACAGATTTCATCACGGTCCTCTGGAGTTACCATCATGTACTGCATGGATCAGTTAGGAAGTTTTTCATGGTTTTCTTCTTTCTCCTGTGCAAAACCCTTTTTTTCTTTGTTTTGTTTTGTCTGCTTTCTCATTACTGAGGTCATGCAAGTTGTTCTCGCTTCATTCTACTTCAGTTCAGAGCAGTCTTTGCAAGTTTCTCTGAATTCTTCATGTTCATCATTTCTTACTGCATCCATCTTTATTTTTCATTTACAAAGACGTATTTTCTCATCCTCTCACCCCACTCCCATTTAAGGAAAAGAAAAAAAGAAAAACAAAACCCATGTTTCAAAGATACTTAGTCAAGCAAAGCAGACTCCATGTGCTGCACTAATATTCCATTATATTCAATCACCACAACTCATTCATCGGCTACTCCCTTTTTTTCCATTTTGTGCTACTCTAAAAAGTGCTGCTATAATTACCTCTGTATATATGTGACTTTTCTTTGACCACCCCCCCCCCCGAGGCATCTGCCTGGCAGTGGTTATCAGGGGGTCAGAGGTACGTGTGGTTCAGAGACTTTTTTAGTATTGTTTCAAGCCATTTTCCAGAATGGCAGGACAAAGTCACAGCAACACCGACCCTGATTATTGTTCCCATCTTCCCATAGCCCCTCCAACATTTCTATTTTCATTTTTTGTCACCTTTAGGTAAGAGGTGAAACCTCTGAATTGTTTCAATTTACATCTCTCTTACTGTTAGTGATTCGGGGTATTCATTCAGCTCGAATTGCTTCTTCTGAAAATTGTCTGTTCCCAGCCTTTGGTCATGTTTCAGTTGGAGATGGCTTGTTCTCAAAGGCAATACAGCTAACATTCATTTGTCAATGCTCATGTGACAGGAAGTTTGGATAACTGGAATCCAGGGAATCCCAAACCCTGGCTGGAGTGTTTCAACCTTCTCTCTGCTGTACTTTTTTACCAGACAGTCAAAAAACCACACATAGATTTTTGTCTTTTTTTCCCCCTCAAGTCTTAGGGGAGACTGGGATGTGGGGAGGAGGAAATGGCCAAAATGGAGGAAGGCTCCAGGAGCAGTAGTCTCCTGCTCCCTTGATGGGTAAGAACTGACCGTGGCCTTCACTGGGACATGATCTTTCCAGATTACCCCCATGCTGACCTTTGGTTTATGTACAATGTGGCCATAAGGAATGGTACCTAACAGTCACAAATGTAGTGGGAACTTCTGGGAACCAAGGTATACCGGCTGGTACTTAACTTATCTCTTAGTTACCTGGTGTGGCTATCTCTAGGGGGTGGTCTGAATAAATTACATTGTTTATAACATAAGATAATAAGAGTAACTGAGAGTGACACTGCTTGATAATCAGGTATATACACACACACACATACACATATGTGTGTGGCGAGGGGGTCTTCCCATAATGGATACACCTCATGTTAAAAATTCCCTTCACCAAGAAAAAGAACCAAAGAGCAGTCCTGTAGTGGACAAGAGACAGACAAGACAGAAAGCATACCGGGGCCAAAGCATCAGGGAAATGTCAGGGGCTGGAAAAACGGTTTGGGAGAATAAACAAGGAGGAGGTCAGAAAGAGGGAGGGGCTGAGATGGAGCCATAGGTATGAAAGCAAGGTGAGAGCAGAGTTAGGAAAACAAAGGAGGCGAGGCAGGGATCTGCTAGGGAATGAGCCAATCAGTCTGGTGGGTAAAAAGGCTGACACAGGGCACCTTATTTGTTTACTCCTGCACTTCCAGGCTCTGAGTCTGCACCAATGTGGGTAACTGCCTTCACCAAGGCAGACTACAAGCCCCCCAAAAGGTACCAAATGGCCATGGGCCTCTCTGATTCATCAGACACACTGTCCATCGCTGGGCCTGTAACAAAGCCTTTTGAGCTCTGTGGGACCTGCCTGAGCTGGGACTCCACTGGCAAAGACCTTCCTCGCTGCCACGGGATTCTGGTGCACACTTTAACACACGTATCATGAGAAGGTCATGACGGGCCTGGCGGGTGTCAGCCAGAGCAGAGAAGCTCCCTCGGTGACTATCCACCCCAAGAGAATTAAACACTTAACCTGACCCACGTTATTTCTGCAGGTCACTCCTCCACAAATCCCTCCGCTGTCCTCCAGCAAGGAGACAAGCTCCTGTGCCTGGCATTCCCAGGCCTTAAGTCACTGACTGCTGAATATCGAGAGTCAGAAAAACGGTGGGCCAAATGTCAGTGGGTAAAAGCAGCTCGAGTAGCTGCGTCCAATTATTTTAAGTCTAGGGCAACAATTTCTAAAGTGTGAGATGGGAAGAGAAGGCCCCAAATCTGGCTGTAACCTGGGAGAGATCAGGGCCCTGAGGTGGCCAGGAAGAGAAGAAAGGGTTAAAGGGTTAACAGCACATTTCCAAAAGAAAAACCAAAGACTAAGGTCACCTAGAGGTGGCCAAGCTAGGACCACATGTCTGGAGACACCGGAAGGTAGATATCCTGACTATGAGACAGAAGAAGATGGAAAACTGATAGAAGTAAAAGAAAATCCAGAAACTTAAGGCAGATGCCAAAGGACCCCAAACCAGTGACGGGGATGAGATGGAGGATCTCCTGGGGAGCAGATTAGCCAGAAGCAGGGCTTGTGGGATCACCCAGGATCATGAATCAAACGATCACCCCAAACCATTCATTTACTGACATCTCTGTGTATGACTCTGCTGGACGCTTGGAGATAAAGATTAATCAGTAAAGGTCACCCAATTCAACCCAAAAAAGAAATAAAGGGTCCATTTCTGTTAAATCTCTTCTGGCGAAATGGCCTCTAAAAGGTGAGATTCCAGTAAAACTGGTCCTCCTTCTCTGGGAGAGCAGGTGACCATCACATAACTAAGTGGAGACCACACAGCTTTAGAGATGTCACACAACTCCCTGAAAGGGAAGAGGGTCACGGGATATGGAGGTATATGAAGAGGGGGTCACGGGATATGAAGAGGACCCGAGGGGGTCACCTAGTCGAGACGAGGCGACTACGTCCCTGTGGCTGATATAACCTCCCTGATGTCACCATATTAAATGGCAGAATCCAGGCTGCTGACTCCAAACCCAAGTCAGAGAACCCAAGCAAGGGCGGTGTGAGACGTCTGTAGGGACAGGGGACACTGAATACCCACGCATGCTCTCCACAGGCACCAATGGCTCTAACGTAACCGCTCAGCCCTGGTGCTGATTCTGGACAAGACTCCGAAGGAGGTTTGGGAAATGAGGTGGTGCCAGCATGGAAGGACCCACTGCCTCTTCAGAGTGTCAGCACCCATCTCTCTTCCCTCTTATTTGCCCCAAAGCCCCTCGCCCAGCACCATCTCACCTTGCAAACCCGGGCGAGCTCGTACTGCAGGTCCTTGATGAGGCTGTTTTTAGATTCCAGAACATCCTGAAGAGGGAAATCAAAGGTTGGCTAAGAGACATGAGTCAAGTGGAGAGCACTAAGCCCAAAACATGTTGTGGTTTATGTACTGAAGAGGACCTTGGGTGTGGGCAGGTGGTCAAGCAGACCAGGGCAATGCCCAGGAAGCCTCTGACCACTGGCCCACAGCTGCCACAACTGAGCCCACTGGTCTGAGAGTGAAGAGGGGGAGGGGGTCTTTCTTCCCCTAGAGAGATCAGAACTTGCTTCATGACTGTATCACCCTCTGAGACAGGAATGTGAATGTGCCCTAGAGCTGGTCTACTGTGGTTTCTGTCTGACAGCTTCCTTTAGCTCGGAGAGCAGGGTGGGCCGGGAAAAGAGGCCAGAAACGAGAGGAACAGAACCATCTTAGGCTCTGGGCACCGCTCTGCCACTCAATGGTGGGTGAGTTTGGACAAATCTTTTGACTTCCGTGCATCTGTCAAATGAGGATAAAACAAGCCCACGGTCCCTGAAGGCAGAGGACCAATCAGGCAAGCCCCTGAGGCGTCTCCTCCCTTTCAGGTTTCCT